AATAATCATTTTTTTTTCAATTCATTCTAAAACAGGGTCGGTCCTTTAAGTGAATGCCACAATAGATTTCTTTTAGGCCTTGTAATATGATGTTTTTTTAAATACGGACCAATAAAATTAACAATAATTTCTGAATTTTCAATTCTTACAGAGTATTTTACATTTATTTTTGGTTGCATGCAAATTCTCTAAATTCTAAGTAGGTTTTTATTTTAGTCATGCATTATTATACTCCCTCCGTCCCTAAATAGATTACAAATTTTTTTTTCTCTCCTCTCGATAACATTTGTTTGTTTACGTGATTTCATTAAGTATTTGATAAAATAAAATATTCTTGTCACCTCTTTTTTGTAGAACTTTTTACGTAGTTTTTTAATATGTAATTTTTATATCTTCTTGATATATCAATTTGTAAATAAAATGATTTCAAAAAGTAGAAAATTTTACTCCGTAACCCGCAATTTGTAATCAAATTGGGGACGGATTTTAGAGTTTTGTTGGAAGAAGCAAAGCATGGGATTCGAGGTAGCTAGCTGGCTTACAGGTGACTTATGGTCTGCCATGAGTGTGACTTCACCTCTTTGAATGCACAATCACTGATCACACAAACTATCAAACATCTAATGGGTTATTGAGTTATTCATTTGTATACCAACTATTCATTATCCCCGCCCGCACACACAAATATTAAGTGTCTGTCTTTGTAGTTGTAAATGTTTGATATACAAATGAGATATTACATTTTAATATATCTCTAGCATTGTCCAACTACTAAATTACCCAACATTATTGTTGTTGCGTCAATTTCGCTAGTGTGTTATCGACACAGTAAATTAAAATATTTTAATACCAAAATGAGTTTATGTATTTCCCCGTCTCAAAATGTTTGTCACATTTTTTCAATAGTCACGAGAATTTTTATTTATTTTCTTGACACCTATTATTTCAAAGTATTTAAAAACTAATTTAAAATCAATTATTTTTGGACGGAAAGAGTATATTATGAGTTTAAACTACTTATTTAAAAAAGTTATAGTAAGTTGACGAATTAGGAGTACACCTCCACTTGTGGCAAGAAAAGTACGGAATATGAAATAAGTAGAATCTGACTTGGCGTTGAAGTGAATGAGAAAGATGATGCGATAAAAAAGTATAAAGGGCCAGTATATGCATACCCTCCATCCTTAGGATCCGTTTGCTATACGAAATTGATCGAATTAGAATTGAATCGAGGGTTAAAATTCTATGGAATTGATTTGGATGGATTTGAGTTTCCAAATCCAATTCATATTTAGCAGTACCAATTCCAAATATACATATTTCCATAATATGAATTGCATGTACCACACGGAACCTTAGATTATATGTGTTTGATAAGAATCTTGATACAAATCATATTGCGACCGGAAAGAACTCGAGCATAAGATCGAGAATAAAAAGAGAGGAAAAGATAATAAAAAACTTTGAATGTTTATGAGTTCGCAAAAAAAAGATCGAAAATAGTTCTTATTTCACTTGACAACTAGCTATTCTAAGGGGTACATCTTTATTTATAAATGCAAGAGGTTCTCATGATATTAAGTCTCAGTGTCATGGGATGACATTAGCCTCATTTGGGAAACCAAAGGGGTACATCCCAGTTTGTATATAAAATTGATAGTTCCCACTTCCCTAACACTCTCAGTAAATCATTCACCCATTCCAATCCACCAACATACCCCAGTTCCTTAAACTGCACTCCCAATTCTATCTCACTTTGGGTCAAAAAACTGATTTTAATGTCACCTAAAATTGAGGGTGCAATTTAGAGAGTTCGGAGGTGGATTCGGCTTGGGGTGGAAGGTTACCGGGGCCCAGCGAAAACAACCATCAATTTTACGAATCACACACCTAAATATTCTAATTGGGATCAATGTTCTCTGATGGCAGTAGAGACCAATATCATGAGAAATGAAATGACTTAATTATTGAGTAAATATGTCGATCACTTTCTTTGATTAGTTATTTTGGCAGGGATTCGAGACTCGGATGACACTGTAGGCTATAGTGCTCCGTATTCAAAACTAATGGGTCCTTTCCCCATCTCTGGTAAACCCCAACCCTAACTCAGCCCAATCACACCTTTGTTATTTTTATTTTAAAATTTTGTTGATTTTGGAATCAGATTTTTTTTTCAATGATTAATAAGACATACGGAGTACTCGGACATGTTGGTTAATGTGGAGTAATTAAAAGATATAATTAAATAATTTTATTTAAAAAAGAAGATTTTTTTAGAACACTTTAAAAAATGAAATACTCCATATATTTTGTGAGAGGGACGAAGGGCACCACTAATTAAATGTATTAAAAAGTCTAGTCATGGTGTAGATAAGGCATAATTGAATTCATGACCTAAGAATTTGAAGAAAAAAAGTGTTTTGTAGTCATAATTAGCTAAAAGTTTAAAAGTGTAACCCATTATATTCTATTCAGATACGTCAATTTCTTATCAATTCAAACTCATTTGTATCCGCACAAATCACAACGTCTAATTCTTCTTCGAACTCATTCTTGAAAAAGACTAGTGGAGGTTGCACAATTGACAAATGTAGGGACTACTAAGGGATAAATCTGAATTCGATTCCTTACTATGTGCTAGGAGGCAAGTATGCTAAACATTGAGCTTTTGCATGGGGTTTGAGGAAACTCTCGGGGATGAACTACTCATTCTTTTGTGAAAAGGACATCTATCAAATTAATTGATCCCCTTTAATACTTGATTTACAATATTATGAAAGTAAATGTAGAAAACATACTTTGTACTTAATTAGTTAAAAAATTAAAATATCCTTCAAGTGGCAGCAAATTTGATTCGTCTCCTTGTATTTTTCTTTATATGAACATTGTTAAAAATATGGATATTATTCACTAATCTAGAATATTGTGAAAATTATAGACTTGAGACATTGTTTATGTGGGAGACCGACGTTACCATTTTGTGATCGGCGGCCGGCGAAGGACGATAGGACGTGTTGGGACAATAAATACAAATTACTCCGTAATATATAAAGGGCATTTTAATATAGTAGAATCAATAATTAAATAATAATTCTACTCGAATAAATGTTGAAAAATATAGTTGTAAAAATATCATTCAATTAAATAATTATTTAAATAAATACTCCCTCCGTCCCCCTATATTCGTCCACTTTTGACTTTTGGAACTGTTCATCTAAGCACTTTGACTCATCAAATTCTCTCAATGTATAAGCCTAAATATAATCATGCCTGATCTTGTTTGATTTGTCTTAACATATAGATTATTAATATATAATTTCTATATTTTTTTAATATACAAATTACAAGATAAAATGGATTAAAGAAGTGTATTGGATGGTGTGCAAAAATGAAAGTGGACAAATATAGTGGGACGGAAGAAATATAAGAAAACTTATCTCTTTTTTTTGAAACAAGAAAACTTATCTTAATTTCGATAAAAAAGAATATATTTTTATTCTCGTTTGAGGTGGTATGTTAAAACTTTAGATATAGTATGTTATTGTATATTCATCATATGTTATTTAAATACAATTTTAGTTATATTTTGAAAAAATTAGAAAGAGTTGAAAGAAAGTGAAAAGAATTGGAAAACGTTAGAAGTTAGTTTTTCGAAATCAAATGAACAGATCTTTAGTGGAATTGTCACTAGATAACACCCAAACGCTACCATAATATATAATCATTTCACCTCTAGTTTTATAAATTTTTTTGATGTCTTTTAAATATGTAATTTTTATGTTTTAATTCATACCATTTTTTCATACAAAATAATGCGAAAATAATTTTGAGAAGACAGAAAAACTGCAATATGTAGTAAACAAGGAGTACCTAGCAAGGAAAAGAAGACGCGTTTGATTTACTGTGGTTTACTTTTTTGGGTGCAATAATATATCCTCTGGTTCCACTTATACTGTGTCTACTTTAATTAATTACCAGATCGAGGGTCCACTTTCATTTTTACACATCATCAAATACAATTCTTTAATTCATTTTATCTTGTAATTTATATATTAAAAAATTATAGAAATTATATATTAATAATCTACTCCCTCCATTCCATATTAACTGTCTATTATGACTTTCTTGGTATATTAAGAAATGAATGAATGTAGACATAAAGTATGTCTATATCCATTCATTTTTCAATGTACCAAGAAAGTCATAATTGACAGTTAATATGAAATGGAGGGAGTATATGTTAAGACAAATCAAACAAGATCACACATGACTATATTTAGGCTTACAGATTGAGAGTATTTGATGAGTCAAAGTGCTTAGATGAACAGTTCCAAAAGTCAATACTGAATGAATACTCCGGGACTGAGGGAGTATTTTCTTCAATTCTTTCGTTCTTCTTCTTATGCACACTCGAATTTGTGGCGCTGCTAGCTGCACTACTTTGCACGTACGTACTACTACCATTCTACCACACATCGCTATACCACCAAGCCAACAAAATATCATTATATTCCATTTCAGATTTTTACTCATGAAAGTGACAAGCCATGTTCCTAGCTAAGCTTCTCACCAATCCATGACCCACATGACACTCATAATCAAAGGTAATTCTCTAGTTTCACTCTTTTAACACCGATCAAAATCCAAGTTAACTTCTTTCAGTAAATTTTTGACAAGTCTGAGGAAACTCTCAGGAACGAACTCATCATTTTCATTTTTCATAAACAAACGTAATAAGCATAATTGGCCGTGTGCTTGCCGGGAGTAAGGGAGTTTCTAGCCGGTTGGGCATGGAAATGAGAAGGTCGTCGCCGGTGTCCGACATGATCAATATGCCACACACCTTTCATGACAATCTCTTTAGAGTTCAGAAAGTGAATGTGCGGCACGAAAAATAACAGTATGTGCGTGTTTATGCAAATCATGGTAACCCAAAATATTGAGATTTATTATTTTTACCATGTCTCAATGAAATATGAATAGATTGAAAATTGTAAATTAAACTACAATCAATTATATTGAAATAAGGCCAAAATTTAAAGAAATACTCTCTGTTTTTTTTTTTTGGAATTGGAATTCATAGGCAAACAACAAATGTTGAGGCAAAACTGGATGACACAAACCCCCCATTCACCGGCTGGCACCAATAATGAATCCCCCAAGAGAGAGAGAGAAAAAACACGAATAAAAAATAAGTGACGGAATTGAAGTGGAAACGGCCGTTTCCCCGTCCGTCCGTCCAGGTAGAAAAAAATATTACCCATTTACCCTCGGATTTAATTCGGAAGCTATATCTAAAAACTCCGAATATTTACAGTACAAAGTGACCACGACCCACCGTCGTGATCTTTTCTTATTCCGGAATTGCCCTCAAGTTCGCCGCGAACTTCCCTGACCTCCTCCTACCACCTCCGTTACCGTTACTTCTTCCACCGTTGGTCAACCCTCCAGCGATGACTGACCTATCCGCCGCCGCCGCCGACTTGGATTCCTTCTCGACGGGGAAATCTAATACGCCTTTCCGGCGACACCCGCATTTCTTCTCGCAGCCACTACCCAAGCTCTTGGTCAAGGCGGAGCTAGCTTTGACGGCCAATGCGGCCATTTCCTCGGCCTGGAGGCGGCGCTTTAGGCGGCAGAGCGGGAGAGCGAAGTAGAGCTGTCCGGGCTGGAGCTCCTCGTCTCCGGCGAGGGCGGAAACGACGTCGCCGAAGTCCATTTCGTCGGAGTTGCAGATGAAGACGGTGGGGTCCCTCTGTAGGACGTAGGAGGCCTTGACGGGGCAGGAGAACTCCTGCAACCTTCCGTCTTCAAGTATCAACTTCGCCGTCGCCACCGAGGCGGACTCACACGAGGTGCATATACCCATCGTATACCGCCGTAAAACTCGGGGATCGACTCGGTTTTGTAGTGAGTTGAACTCGGTTGCGAACAATGAATCAATCAATGAATGAAAAGTTCTTGAATGATGGAAGCCGATATATGATGGGTGTATATTTATATATATGGAGTGTATAAATTAAAAAAAAATGAAAAAAAATTGGGTGATTGGTCGAATCGGGAACACATTAGGTAGAGGGGCAGGAAGCCACGTCAAAACTGTCTTGTAGCGTACGTAGGGAAGGGTAGAAAATGGAAAATGAAAAAAAAAGAATACTACTCTTTTCTTGAATGTTTAATTTTGATTTGTTTAAGTTAAAATTTGCAATTTTTTTACAATAAATTAAATTAAAATGATATTATATATTTATAAAAAAACATCTTAGTAGATTCATTTTACAAAAAAAAATTCAGAATATTAGTTTATCTAATTAATACCCAGTATATGAAGTGTATTTTATTTCATAATAGGTAAAATATTTAAAATAGATGAATACAAAAAAACAAAGCTAGACATATACTCATGGATGAAGATTGCGATAAGCATGAACCACATCAAGAAAGGCATTTCAGAACTCACCAAACAATTACTTGAGAAGAAATAAATTCACGGTGAAAGGTGATTTCTATACCTAGTACTTGCATATTCTCTATGTGTAAAATTTTACTATCTTTGAGAATCATTTGCATTACCAATCGGTCCTTAAAATTGGATGGTCTAGATTGAGATGAAAAAAAGGTCTTAAAGTCTGTGTCATTAATGACTTAACGAATTAAAGTGAAAAAAGTCATTATATTTAAATGACAATTAACATAATAACATTATAACTAAATAAATAAATGACAAAATCATTGTAAAGGATTTATATCTACCACCTCCTCAAACCAGTTCCTTCCTGTTTCTTCCACTTCTTTCTATTTCTTCATGTTTTTTCCAGTTCATTCACGTTTCTTCCAACTATTCTCGTTTCCTTCAAACTCTTTCTACTTCCAACTAATTACTCTAAAAATGATATATTTTTAATGTGATTATTATTATTATTATTATTATGTTCAAAACTATAGTTTATAAATTAAATTATTTATTTTATCTCACTATTTTTACGATTCATACTCATTGTTTTTTCTTCAATTTTTTAATATGAATAAGACAATTTTTTGTATATTAATCTACAAGATAAAGCAGGAAAACATCAATATTTTAAACTATATTAAAAAATTATAAAATACTTACATAGAATGATTTATTAATCTAACTTTATATATATATATATATATATATATATATATATATATATATATATATCTCACACACACACACACACACATATATATATATATGTATATATATGTGTATATATATATGTGTATATATATATATGTACACACACACACACATATATATATATATATAAAAGAGACCCTCACCTTTCCCTTTTTTACTCAAATTTTTCTCATTTGCTAATTTTAATAAAAAAAAAATTGGAAGTCAAAATAGTTTAGAGAAAAAGAATAAAAGGATTAAAACATAAAAGATGTGAAAATATTTTCCAATTTTTTCCAACATTAATCTAACTTTTTTTCAGTCCTGAAGAACCGGCTCTCTAAGTATATGTATGTGAGTATTTGTGTATTGGTGTACACTTGGTGTAGCTCAATGTCCTCAAATAGCCAAATGACCCAAGCATAATTCATTAGTTAATTCGGATTTCTTTTTATATGCAAAGTAGTAGTAGTAGTACAATGTTAGTAGTTGCGTCGTTTGGAGCGGTGAGGGACAGACTGCCAGGCTGTATATTGATGGACGACAGCTTGGTGGAGCCTTCTTCAATGTGCGCGCGGGCGCGCTTTTAAGAATGAAGAAAAATTATTTGATTTCGACTTTGACCCTTTACTATTTTTGCCATCAAATTTCCGTTCTACTACATACTCCTATGGACTACCTCCTCACTCTCTTCCTTTTTAACTCGGACTACGTACCTTAGGTCTAATCGCGTTAAAAGTTGCCTCATGCAAAATGATAAAACACAAAAAGAGTGTGCCTCTTTATATTTCAATATTTTTTTTCTTGATCGAAGTAATGAGTACAAAGGTACGTGCTTTTGAATTATACTCCATCCGTCCCAAAAAGATTTACACCTTTCAAAAAAATTATGTCCCACAATCTCCTACCCATTTATATTAAAAACCACTTTTACCCCTTATTTTTTCAAACCCTACCTATCACATTATACCTTTTTCCTAATAATCTATACATCACATCCTATTTTTACCCATCACATCAATGGTATTTTTGGAAAGTCAACACAAAATTATCGCTTCCTTAATTTCAACTTTAGTCAAAACGTGTAAATCTTTTTGGGACGAAGATAGTATTAAAAATCTCTTGAAACAAATACGGTGAATACATCTCTATTCACGGTGGTCGACCCTTCGACAGCATGACATCACCGACCGATCTCGACTAGCGTGTCTAACAGCAGCCGTCCATTATCCTCTCTTTCTCTCCAAAAAAACCATGATCTCTCTTTTCTAAAAAATCGGCTGCGTGACCGAAGAACGAGAAAGTCGTTGTATTATATTTGTTAGTTTTTTTAGAGATCAAGAGCATGAAAAGCGATATAAAAGCAGACCCCAACGGTGAAAAAAAGAAACTCATTACCCTCACTCCAATCATCAACACTCTCCCCAAGGAAAAACAAAGCAAATGTAATCTTAAGGTTGTTCTTTATGCAATAACGATCTGAGTCTCTACTTCTGGAGACTAATCTCACAACACTAACGAAAATAGGTAAAGAAAGTGATTAAAGTTGGACCATATGAATAGTAAATAGGAAGAATGTTTTACGACGGAAGGAGTCTAAAAATACTCTCCTCGTCCCTAAAAGATTGCCACAATTTGACTTTTTTAGTCAAACTGTGACACCCTTTGACCGCGAATTATAGACAAAATATATGTATCCATAATTTAAGTTTAATAAAATTCGGTTTATTTCAAAATATAATTTTGAAATATCAAATTTTTATAATATTTAATTTTACTAAAAAATACTCCCTCCGTTCCTTTAAACACTTCCACTTTTGACTTTTGGCAAAAATAAGGAAAGTGTAATTTGGATTGACTTTCCAATTTTGTCCCTGATGTGATGGGTAAAAGTAAGATGTGATAGTTTGTTTATTAGGGAAAAAGTATGATGTGATAGGTAGGGTATGAAAAAGTAAGAGTAAAAGTGGTTTTTTAATAGAAAGTGGAAGTGTTTTAAGGAATTCAAAAAAAAAAGGGAAAGGTTTAGTGGAACGGAGGGAGTATTTAATTTATCATCAAAGAATGCTACACTTTAACTAAAAAAGTAAAATTGTTCAATCTTTTAGGAATGAAAATCAAAGTATGAATAAAAAAATATAGGGAATACTTTGATTCTCTACTAGCAAAGAAGGCCAATAGTATGAAGTAGTAATAGGCGGTTTTGGGTTGGTGGTCTGGACGATTATAAATATAGGGGTTAACGATATTCTGCATTGGTGCATGACGATATGTTTTGATTTGGATTTGATTGGAATAAGTTTTAATTCAAATATAGATATATTTAAAGTTATTTCTGATCTGATCTAAACTCATTCTAATAAAAAAATAAGATTGAGAATAAATTGAAAAAAACAAGACCTAAGAATCTCATCTTTCATATAATATAGACTACAATATACAATATAAATCTTTGATATGTGTGAAGGTATGTTATTGTTGCATCCCCACAAAGCTACTTGGTGCTGATATGCCATAACCATTCAATATTTAGTTGGTACATTTCCATGAGACGCAATGTATATCATAAAACCGGTCGCACGGTGTTTCACATACATCCACGATGAGTGTTTATTTGCGAGTAATTGAAGGCTCATTTTCGAACAAATGAGTATTCATTCTCAATAACTAAATTCTCATTTTTCTAAAATCCAGTTATGCTTAGTTACTCGAAATTGAACATTTAGTTACTAAAAAAATGAATATTCAGTTACTCAAAAATGAGTACTTGATTATTCTACAATGAGTTTTGAGAGGGTTGATGTATTTGGATCGTTCATTTGTTCAGTCACTACATCAAATTTAATTACATCCCCCCATACAGCCTAACACGCCAGAGAAACTATTTGGCCCAAACTTTTTGTTCATTCACTACATCAAACTATTTGGGCCAAACTTTTGGGCTTTTTGTTATTGTAAAAAAAAAACTACGGAGTAATTCATTTGAAAGTTTAGGGGGTATATTCAATCTAGATTTTAATAGATTCTGATAGATTTTTTAGAATTCATGGACTCTGTAAAATCATTGAATTATTTTAAGTCTACGTAGAGTTCGAAAGATTTTAATGTATTTTATTCGAAGGATTTTATGTGATTTTGACATATTGTTTACAATCATGGATTATGTAAATAAACATTTTTTCTTTTTTTTTTCTTTTTCCTTTGAACAATTTTTCCCTTTTTTTTCTTTTTTCTTTTTTCTTTTTTCCTTTTCCCTTTTTCTTTTTCTTTTTTCCTTCTTCCTCCCGAAGAACCCTAGCCGCCTACCTCTATCCTTCTTTTTTTATTTTCTTCTTTCTTTCCCTTCCTCCTGGATTTTGTTGATGGTTCCGCTGGGAAGTTCGGCAACAAAGTGGTGCCTCGTTTTACTCACCTGAGAGAGCTCGAGGATGACGGAGTTGCTGAAGTCAGCTCCGCGGCTGCTAGCGCGGCGGGAGACGGTGGCAGCCTTGGAGAGAGCTTTAACCCTAGCGGCATCCCGCTGCAGCCACATCTCGAAGAGGGCCGTGGGGTGGCATTCAGTGCATCGCCATAGATGCGGTCGACATGACAGAGTTTGAGAGTCCCTGCAGTATCGGTAGATGAAAACATAGACGATGAAGGAGAGAAGAGTAGGTGGAGGAGTTTTCAAAATCTTTAGCTTTTAGGTGAGATTTGATAATGGATTTGTATTTATATCCAAGGCCTTAAAATCAATCAAAATCCTTATTTTTTAAAATCTTTGAAAATCTATCAACATTTGAATACCATTAAATTTAGAATGATTTTTTAAAATCTAAATTGAATACACCTAGATTTTGAATGATATTTTAAAATCTGAATTGAATACCTACAAATTTTAAGAATTCAAAAAAACCATCAGAATCATGATTGAATACACCCCTTAGTGTGGAAGAACTGTGGTGATCCTTCCAAAGGCCTACTTTTAAAAAATGAGACTCCTCTTAAAACAAGTTTTAAACGGTAATAATGAACAAGTTTAATCAGTAATAATAATATTGAAAGGGTAGCATGGGAAAGTACAAAAGACAGTACTTGGCTAGTTGGCTTGGCTTAGGGCTCACCCAACAACCCGACATCACCTTCCGTAACTTCATCGGATCTCATCTCTTTCTCTTTGTAATATTGCATTGAATGAATCCCTAGCCGGCCTCCACAAATACATATTTCCCTTTTCCCCTTTCACATTTTTCCCACCCACATTATTAATTATATGTACTTCAATAATACATGTATCTCTATAATAATAATAATAATAATAATAATAATAATAATAATAATAATAATAATAATAATAATAATAATAATAATAATAATAATAATAATCATAAATAAAACTAAAATCACTCCTTCATTCTCTGGCTAGCTATTAATATAGCTAGGTCAATGATTATGTGCATGCATGCAGTATATTCCTCCTCCTTTTTAAAAAATAAAGATTTTCATTAAATGAACAGCTACCTTATTATGCGTTGTGTACCTAATTAAAGTCTTCAATAAGAAAATGAAGCATACTACGGAGTATCATTTCATTTGATCCATCGTTCTTGCATTTATTGGTTATATCGATAATTTCTTTTAATTTCAGGATTATTGCATTGCGTATCCTGGTGCATGCATGCATGTACGCTTAGATTTCGTGGTGGGGCTATCATTTTCGCTGTATGTTTTTATTTTCTTCATCGGGTATATATACACATATTCGTACCATTCCTAATAAACATGATAGGAATGTATGAAAGGAATATAATTAATAATCTTTGAAGTTGGGAATTCTCGCATCTCTTTGAAGTCGCATCGATCCCTCCTAACCTCTTACCATGAAATATAGTAACACTCATGTGGTAGCATCGTAGCATTATTTAATACTCTCTCCGTTCCAAAAAGATTTACACGTTTCAAAAAAATTGCGTCCCACAATCCTTTACCCATTTCTATTAAAAAACCATTTTTACCCCTTACTTTTTCAAACCCTACCTATCATATCATACTTTTTTCCTAATAATCTTCATATCACATCATACTTTTACCCATCACATCAAGGATATTGTTGGAAAGTCAACATAAAATTATCCCTCCCTTAATTTCTACTTTAGTCAAAACGTACTCTTCTTTATGGGACGGAGGGAGTAGAATATTTGAACATATAATGGATGCAGGAGATGAGGGGCATAAGTTTTTAAGTGATGTGAGGGTACACAGGAAACAACAAGCGACGCATCATGCACGTGCACGCAAACCGATCAACGATCGAGAGCTGCAACTTGATTGGTTATTGGTGCATATGCTGCCCAAGAATCGATAGATCATCACTTTCATTATTATAGTATACTCCGTATTTATTAGCCATATATGCATGTCGATCGCCTCCTCCGATCCTTCAAAGTCGATCAAGTAACCCATTCCCTCTTACTCTTGAGTTTTACGTTTAACGTACTTCACTTTAATTAACCAACCTTTCCAAATTGAAAAACTTGCAGACTAAAGGATTGTACGTTTCTCTGAATAGGATTAAATATGTGTAATTCTCTTTATGACACATAATTCTCTATGATCTGCCATATATATCTTCAATAGCAACAAGTGTTAGATAATGATTGATTATACCAATGACTCTACGAATACAGTCATTAGTAACATTTGTTGGATTATAGTTGATTATTTCAATGACTATTCAAATTGAGGAGAGAGTAATTTTGTTTCGCACAAAAACTATAACCAAGGACGTAGTAATTTTTACTTATAATTTATGAACCACTAAACAAGTCAAAGAGGAGACATAACATAATTTGAAAGGGAGATGGGAGTATGTGGTTTTCTTTCATGATCAGGTTCTGTATGGCTAAGATTTGTCGCGGGGATGACTCAGCTCGCTCATTCATTTGATTTACATGGTTGACGTGATCTCCGGCCGGCCCTATATATATATATATATATATATATATATATATATATATATATATATATATATATATATATATGTATGTATGTATGTATGTATAAATCAATCCTAGCGTGGCTTGGTTGGAGACGACATTATAATACTTATTAGAACCATGCTACAATTACACTAAAAAATGTACCTCACTTGTACACCACAGCTTTGCACAGACATTTTGATGATTTACACCGACATAAGTGTTGGTGCGTTAACAAAAATGTACACGGGCACAAATGTTGGTGCGTTAACAAAAAAATTAGTTTTACACCAACACAAAATGTTGGTGCAAACCTGCGGGGTACAAATTGGGGTATAAATGTTGGGGTACAATCCTACTTATTAATTTGGACTTGGAAAAATCAATATATATATATATATTGTATTTTGTAGAGAGTAGTACTTCGTCTTCTTCGTTCATTGTTATATATATATTTATTTGATGTTGCCTAGTAAGTAATGCATGTCTCTTAGTCGATCAATGATTAATAATTAACGAGAGCTTCACATATAATATGTATATATATAGTCACTACATATGTTTTTACGTAAATAACATTAAAACATAATGACTTTCCCTTAATAGCACTACATATGTTTTTTTCTCTATGTAGCATTTATAGTCATTATCCATTAGTCATTATTCAAATAAATGTTTGCCATCACTGGTCATTATGGACATTATTAAATATTATTTAGGGAAAAAAACAATCTAAGTGCTATTTAGAGAAATGACTTAAGTTTTAGTGTTATTTAGTGCAAATATTTCATATATATCATATAGTGGTTTACGTATGTTCTTCACTTGCAACTTCACGTGGCTCTCAACGTACTCCATTATGTTTATCAAGAATGTACAATAATAACTCACTCAGTTCTCAATCATGTATCTATATATACATCAAGAGATAGAGACTACTTGATTTTAACATCATCCCTAGCAACACACTAGTGTCAAGGAATTAATTCTCATCCAAAAAAACTCAAGCTTGTGGTGGTACCCTCAAGATATACATAGAAGTTATACTCTAACACAGACACCCGACACATGCACATGAAATTTCTTTTTTATTTTTCTCAAAATTTTGCACGTGAATTTTTAAAACTAGGTGACTGCGAAATTTAAACTCATCATGACCTCTTTGTCATCGATATGTTAAGAGGGGCCAACTCAACCAAAAATTCTAGCTTATGGTTTTGTAAACCCAAGATATAATTAATATTCTGAAAGATCAAGATGAAGGAATAAAAAAATAGGAAGAATTGGAGATCGAACAATGAAAAACGAAAACATATCAATCAAGATTTTTGTGGTAATATATATTTGGTCGATCTGTAAATAAAGTGAAATTGGCACTGAATAGGACTAAAACATAAATCATTTCCCAATGTAGGACTTAAACTTTTTTATTCCCTAAATAGGACTTAATAATGAGTTAAAAGAATAATGTTAAAGTAATGCTGGACATTTAGTTGAATAATGACTAATAGATAATGACCAATGGTCCTATATTGGGAAATAAAAACATATGATCCTATATTGAGAAAGTCATTATATTTTAGTCCTATTTAGGTAAATTATCCATGTGATTTCAAAAACTCCGTGGTATACGCGCAATTATACAGAGAGTATTTTGATGATTTCAAAATATTTACAAGTACATATAATGCTCAACGTAAAAAAACTACACCGAAAATAATGAAGTTAAAATCTTAAGTTTGTGAACTAACAGGACATGAAATATATACTCCCTCCGTCTCTGAAAACCTTTCTCCTTTCTTTTTCATCCGTCCCAAAAAACACTTCTCATTTCTATTAAAAAGTCACCCTTACTTTTTCATACCCTACCTATCACATCATAACTTTTTACTAATAATCTATCCATCAAATCATACTTTTACTCATCACATCAAAGGACATTTTTGGAAATTCAATACCAAAATACACCCCCCTTAAATCTCTTTTCAAAATCAAAACTCCCATGTTTTCCGGGACGGAGGGAGTATTATACTCCCTGTATGGCAGTTTAATTTGGATGATTTTTCTTTCAAAAAAATGGATGATTTGACTTCCATATATTAACATACACTTCAATTATATTAGACCCCATAGTCCCACACATATTTAACATTTAGCCTGGAGCGACTTCAATCCATAATCAGTTGAATCCACGAAAAGACACGTGCACATGCATGCGCAAAATTGGTACGTACGAGTTCGCAAAAAAATATTTGCGTGGTTGGGAAATTTAGATTTTCATTAGGCACTTGATACCTAACCTAGCTATATCTAATACTACTACTCCATAATCTGAAAAAAAAAACAACTACACCTATGCATTTTGTCCCAATATTATCCCACCTCTCCTTTTTAAAATACTTCCCATTTCAACTAAGTGCCAAAATAAAAAAGTACTCCCTCTGTCCACCATAGATATTCTCAGACACTATTCACAAGGTCAAACTTTACTTACTTTGTTTGCTCATTTTTACTAGTCATTTTGTAAAATAATATAGTCTTGTCACCTCTAGTTTTAATTTGTAGAACTTTTCATGTAGTTTATTACTCCCTCCGTCCCATAAAACATTTCCTGTTTCAAAAATGGCACGCCTTTAAAATAAGTAATTTTAGTATTATTTTTTAATTATGACTAATCTATTCTACACATCTCATCCTACTCTTTTATAAAGTAAGGGGCAAAATTAGAAAATAACACCAAAATTACTCATTTTAAAGGCGTGCCATTTTTGAAACATGAAATGTTTTATGGGACGGAGGGAGTACTATATAAATTTTATTTTAAAATTTTACTCCTATAATCAATTAAATTGAATTGAAAATAAAGTCGGTCAAGCCTCGTAACGCGTAACGGGAATATCTTAGGTGGACGGAGGGAGTATTAGATTATAGTAGATTTGCAATTTACCCTTTATGTGATGCTCAAAATAAGATGTGATGGATATATTATTAAAAAAAAGTATGAAGTGATATGTGCAGTGTCGGAGCTAGGACTCAACGCCAGTGGGTGCAAGACGTACAGTTCCATCCTTCTAGTAGTTACCGGAGACATGAAAATATAACTTGGTCTTACATTTTTTTTGTCAAACACATAGCGTGCAGAAAGATTGACAAATATTGAAGAAGATTCACACCATTATTTTTTAGAAGTGCAAAACAACTTCCTTTTAGGGTTTAATCATGAATAGAAATTCCAGAATTCAGAGCAATTTTTAAGTCAAAATACATACGTCTTCATCAATTGAACACTTG